GGACTATTTACAACCAGGCACAGATATCCAAGGAGAAAAATTTCATACTTCTCCATACCTTCCCACCTTCCCCCTTTGAAAACAGCCCCCATTCATTGTATCCTTGAAAAATCTCTCCTTTGCTCTCCTGCCCACTGCTCCCTTGTGGTGTATCCAGTAAACTTCTAACTCCTTTGTTCTGCCTTGGGTGAATCATTTCACAATCCATGCCACTTGCTTCAACTCGATTCCTGCCCCATATTTCAGGGCCCCCATCCAATCAAGACAGACACCATATGAATCAAAAACTCTGGTTGTGGGCCCCAGAAATCTGTGTTTTCACAAAAGCTCCAGATGATCTTGCTATATGCTAAAGTTTGAGAAGTCCTGCGCTAACCATCCTTTTCTAGCCCGACAGCTGAAATCGACTCTCAGTTGGTCTTCCTCTCCATCCTTGCCTCTTCCAATTCATTACTTTCCCAGCAGACAAAGTCATTTTTTATTCCTTAATTTGATCCAGTCACTCCCTTGCTTAATACTTCTTAATGGCTTTTAAATGCACTCAGAATAAAATTTTAAAAATGTTTTAGCATAGCCTGCAAGTGACTTTATGCTGTGGGTCTTATCAATGGCTCTAACCTCTCCTACCCCTCTTCCTCCTCTCCCTTAGTCATGTCATTGCCATGTCAGACTCCTGACCTTCTTGGTGGGAATAACTCATACTCCTCACATTGCTAGCTTCTCATTTGGGAAGTCTTTCTCCACCTTCATTATTCTTCCTGCTTCATGCCTCTTCTCAAACTTTGGAATCTTCTCTGTTTCTTTATGTGTCATGTACCACCATTCTAGATCATCAATTTTATGAGAAAGGGGACCAAACCTCTTTTCTTCCCTATTGTGCACCTACCGCATCTTGAAATGTTTATGTCATAGATGCATTAAAAACAAAAAAATGCATTAGAATTTTTTTTTAAATGGGGTGCCTGGGTGGCTCAATTGGTTAAGCATCTGACTTTGGCTCAGGTCATGATTTTGTAGTTCCTGAGTTCAACCTCTGCATTGGGCTCTGGGCTGACAGCTCAGAACCTGGAGCCTGTTTCAGATTCTGTGTCCCCTTGTCTCTCTGCCCCTTCCCCCCACCTCAAAAAAAAAAAAACATTAAATTTTTTTAAAACAAACAAAAAATGAAGAATGACTAGCCAAATACAATTCTTATGAAGGATAAAATACAAACCAAATAAAGAAAAATAAAATTGATATTGATGTTGGTTCTTAAAAATTGTGGGCTTACAAGGGATACAGAAATGCTGAGGCATAGGAGCACATGTACCCCAATGTTCATAGCAGCACTCTCCACAATAGCTAAAACATGGAAAGAGCCTAAGTGTCCATCAACAGATGAATGGATCAAGAAGATGTGGTTTATCTATACCATGGAATACTACATGGCAATGAGAAACAATGAAATCTGGCCATGTGTAGCAACATGGATGGACCTTGAGGGTGTTATGCTGAGCGAAATAAGTCAGGCAGAGAAGGACAAATATCATATGTTTGCACGTATAGGAGGATTAGGAGGAACTTGACGGAGGAACAAGCGGGAGAAGAAGGGGGGAAATAGTGGTGGAAAGGGAGAGAGGCAAACCATGAGAGACTCTTGAATGCTGACAAAAACTGAGGACTGATGGATGTGGGGGGGAGGGGGGGATGGGCATGGAGGAGGGCACTTTGGGGATGAGCACTGAGTGTTATGTAGAAACTAATTTGACAATAAACTATTTGTAAAAAAAAAAAAAAAAAAAAAATTGTGGGCTTAAGGGGCACTTGGGTGGCTCAGTTGATTAAACACCTGACTTCGTTTCAGGTCATGATCTTGCAGTTTGAGTTTAAGCCCCACCTCAGACTCTGTGCTGACAGTGTGGAGCCTGCTTCAGATTCTGTCTCCCTCTCCCTTTCTCTCTGTCTCTCTGTTTCTCTCTCAAATAAATAAATAAATATTAAGAAAAATAAAAATTGTGGGATTATGAATTCCCAGGTAAGGGCGCCTTGGTGGCTCAGTTGGTTCAGTGTCCAACTCTTGATTTTGGGTCAGGTCAGGATCACAAGATCATGGGCTTGAGCCCTGCATTGGAACTCCTCATCATGGAGCCTGCTTGGAATACCCCCACCCTGTCTTCCACCCCTCTTTTCCTTTGCTCCCCTCTCCTACTCATGCTCTGTCTAAAAAAGAAAAAAAAAAGAATTCCCAGGTAATACCTGAAGTTGGTGAAGCACAGTTGGGATTCCTGTGTGCATGGACAAAACAGACAAATTATACATGACAGGAATTTAACATTGGTGCAGGGGGTTATGCTAGGAAAGATTAATGTATCTATACAATCTTGTCAGTCTTATAAGAAGCCCTGAGCACTTCATACGTGTACCATAGACCTTGATTCTCTACATTTATTTTGGCTGATTCATCTTTGTATGCTATAGGCAACACTCAATCAAAAAACACTTTGGGTATGTCAGCCACATTATGTTACCTTGATTCTGCTTTTGATTATTACCCCTTGAGTTTACCTGGTGAATTTGGTTGGTTGGTTTGTTTGTTTTGCTTTCATTTTCTCTTTTTGCTCTCAAGTTTAATACACTTTAAGTTCAGGATAATTTTAGGTTTTTCTTTGACTCTGGTACTCAGCACTCATCTCAGTTATGGCTGGCACTTGCTGTCTGGCTCTATCCATTCTTAGAGAATCATAGTCTTTTGGACTGAATCATTGTGTGAGCTCACTTGGATTGAAGATATCAGGAGAGGGAGAACTAGACAGGTACAAAGAGAGCTGGGTGGGGGCAACGTACAAATGAGGTAACTGCTCTGTGGTGGCTGCATCAACCTCCAGATCCCCCATTTAATGAACAATCCTCTCTTCTTAGAAACCCAAACTCCTCATCCCCATAACATTAATTCTGTATTACACTCTCGAGAAGACTTACTCTCAGTTATTTTCAAACTGCCTTCTACAGGTGTATAATGATAAAAGGTATCAGCCTAATTTCGAGCTTTGTAAGAAGCATTAGAAAGGGTTTTCTGGGATAGGGCCTGTAATAGTTCATTTTTTTGTACATGGGGTACCCAACTATTTGGTTAAGCAGTATTCTAGGTGTGTCTATGAGAGTGTTTCTGAATAAGATGAACATTTCAACTGGTAGAATGTGTAAAACAGGTTGCCTTCCCACTGTGGGTAGAGCTAAACAAATTTTAAAGCTGGAATACAACAAAACCACTAAGTAAGAAAGAACCTCCTCTGCCTATCTTCCTGTTGGGAAATAAGTCTTCCCCTGACATCACATTCAGACTGGAACTTACACCACTGGCTCTCCTGGGTCTCTGGGTTGTCAATTATACATCATGGGACTTCTCCTTCATAGCTGAGTGAGCCATTGCCTTATAGTTTATATACCTTATAGTTTATATATAGTATCAACTACCCTATTAGTTCCATTTCTCTAAAGAAACTAGAGTAATTCAGGAACCTTCGGGACAAAAGGAGATCATGTGTTTGTATGTACTATAACATTTATGAACCTGGGATATTCTACCCAAGTTGTAAGCTGTGCTCAATGTACCCAGCCAAAAGACCACTGCAGGAAGGGACCCCTTGAAGTGTAACACTATCCAGCACACCTTAACACAGTGGCCCTAGAACACTCTTACGTCTCCAACTTCTGTTGCCCTAGGTCCCCGGATCCTAAACACAAGCTGGGGCCCAGCCTATTTAAGGGGCGGGGGGAAGCGTAGGATGCATGGTATGCTGAGTTCCAGCTGTTTGACCCAGCCAGGATGGAGGTATCCTGGGTCATGTTCTTTGCTCCCTGTGAAGACTGGTATATTTATTTAAGTAAAAAATAATTTCAAGCAGGGCATTCAAATAGTATTCAGCACACCACAAATGTTGAACCTGATATATTAAGAAAATTTTTTTAAAAATTAAATAGCCAGAAATCTGTTAGCTAACATTGAGGCAGGCACATTCCAAACAGAACATCAACATCACCAGAATATAAATGATAATCAGACAAAGCCACTCAGTGGTGAGGGTGGAACAGGACAAAAACAAGGCCACTCCACAACTGGGTCTGAAACTAGAGAGAAACAAGGGTACTCTGCAAACACAAAAATATCATCTCCCTTTTCCAGCTCTCTAAAGTGCCTACCATTTCTTTGTTAGTAACAACTCTTGCTTAGCCTTGATCTTCCCATGCTCAACACAAACATCACCAAGACACAAACATCACTTGGTGTAAAATCACCAAGTTCTGTCTATTTCCTTAGAGGATCCAAATCAAAACTTTTGTTTCCTTAAACCTCCTTTAAATCACTGACTTCAGCCCCAAACACATAATAAATGACATCTGAATTCTTTCATATTTAAGAAGTTTTGCTGACAGTAACTTCTCTTTATTTAGTTAAAGAAACCTAACTGTGTTTGACTACAGATGAGTTCCTGATGGCTCTGGCTGGTGAACTTTGACACAAATTTGCACAAGGAAGCAGCTGCTTTATTCAAGGTCATGTTTGACATAAAGAGGAAGAGGTTATGGCAACTAACAATGCAATTACTCAGAGAATCTCAGTACAAATCAAAGTGACTCACTGAAATGCTTTAAAAACTACATCATCAGATGAAGAAGAAAGGAAGGAAAGAAAGAAAACCTGACCAAGAAGAGGATCTTTTAAAGTATTAGTTGGTAACTTGTTTGTTAAACACAAGCCTCATGCTAAATGAAATCATTCATGTAACTGCTGAGTATAATGCACAGCATAAATTCAAAACACATTTCTATCTTCATAATCCTCATCATGATCATTCTTCTCTTACTATGGATTATCAGTCGTGGAAGGTGATTGTAACAGGATGCATGCTCACTTGTATATGCACGCAAACATAGAAGCAAGAAATGTTTGCCTAATTTAGCATATTCGAAATCTGTCCTTTCATCACATAAGCAAAGGAAGAGGAACAATTAATACTCACATTGAGCTGAAGTTCATCTGTCCACTGTCCAATCAGACGGTAACCAGGGTTGGTGGTGTTTGTGGTCTGGTACTGAAAGATGTCGTAACGCCCAGGGGCGTCCCCATTCTTGTTAAACATTACTGGTGTGCCTGCACTACCTGAAGAAGACAAAAAATGACAGATACCATAAACAAGATTCCTTCTACCTCTTATACCTCAGGTGATGTCCTAGAGACCTGCTGATGAGCAAAGTAACTAGGAGATAACTCCATTGTTTAATAGCCCCCCTAAACAGGCAATGGGCACATCATCACTATGGTCTATGGATTCTTATTATAGAGAGTGGGAAGGTGACTAGACTCCCCTTTTGAAAAGTTCTGTTTCTCTGTATTTCTCAGTATTTTACACTAATCTGTCTCCCTTGTGAAGAAAATTAAATGTGTTATTTTCCAGGGACAATCTTAACTTCTTTATTATTTTAGTTTCCACCTAATATTTGATTGTGGTTAGTAAAGAACCAATTCAAAAATGATTAATAGATTTTTTTTTAAATGTTTTATTTATTTCTAGGAGAGAGAGAGAGAGAGACAGCGTGAGCAGGGGAGGGTCAGAGAGAGAGGGAGTAACAGACTGAAACAGGCTCCAGGCTCTGAGCTGGCAGTCAGCACAGAGCCAGACGCGGGGCTAGAACCCACGAACCGCGAGATCATGACCTAAGCGAAAGTCGGACGCTCAACCGACTAAGCCACCCAGGTGCCCCAAAAAAATGATTAATAGATTTTTAAAAGAAAATCTAAGAGAATTAAAAACAAGCAAACAAGGAAAAAAGTTTACTTAAGTATGTGCTTGAATATTAATTGCATTTAAACATATTTGTTGATTATTTCTAATTTATATGATAATGAGTCTAAAATGCTTAGCAATATACCTGGAAAGTGTTTAATAAATACTATTTTGTTCCTCAATATCCTATGCGGGTCTTACTTCTTTAAAATGTGGGTTGTGATCCCAGAAGAAGTTGAGATCCCAGAAGGGCAAGCAGCCCTCATAAACTAGAGAAAGCAAGGAAACAGATACTTCCCCACAGCCTGCAAAAGGAACTTTCACATTAACTAAAGCCCAGTGAGACCTGTGACAGACTCTCAAATTACAGAACTAGAAGATCATAAATTTATGTTGTTTAAACCACTAAATACATGTTAATTTTAAGGTAATAGAAAACAAAGAGCTGGAGGACACAGAATGCCAAACTTCTTAATTTTTTCTTAAATAATTTATTGTCAAGTTGGTTTCCATATAACACTCAGTGCTCATCCCAACAAGTGCCCACCTCCATGCCCATCAACCCCCTTCCCCTCTCCCCCAATCCCATCAGCCTTCAGTTTGTTCTCAGCATTCAAGAGTCTCTCATGGTTTGCCTCTCTCCTTCTCCCCAACTATTTTTTCCTCCTCCATGGTTCTCTGTTTAGTTTCTCTTGTGCCACTTATAAGTGAAAACATATAGTATCTGTCCTTCTCTGCCTGATTTATTTCTCTCAGCATAACACCCTCGAGTTCCATCCACGTTGCTACAAATGGCCAGATTTCATTCTTTCTCATTGCCATGTAGTATTCCATTGTATAGATAAACCATATCTTCTTGATCCATTCATCAGTTGATGGATATCGAGGCTCTTTCCATGATTTGGCTATTGTTGAAAGTGCTGCTGTGAACATTGGGGTACATGTGCCCCTATGCATCAGCACTACTGTATCCCTTGGGTAAATTTCTAGTAGTGCTATTGCTGGGTCCTAGGGGAGTTCTACTGTTAATTTTATGAGGAACCTCCACACTGTTTTCCAGAGCAGCTACATCAGTTTACATTCCCACCAACAGTGTAGGAGGGTGCCCATTTCTTCACATCCTCACCAGCATCTATGATTTGTTCATTTTATTTTACTTTATTTTTTTAATGTTTTATTTATTTCTAGGAGAGAGGGAGAGACAGCGTGAGCAGAGGAGGGTCAGAGAGAGAGGGAGTCACAGACTGAAACAGGCTCCAGGCTCTGAGCTGGCTGTCAGTACAGAGCCTAACGCGGGGCTCGAACCCACGAACCGCGAGATCATGACCTAAGTGAAAGTCGGACGCTTAACCGACTAAGCCACCCAGGCGCCCCTGATTTGTTCATTTTAGCCACTCTGACTGGTGTGAGGTGGTATCTCAGTGTAGTTTTGATGTGTATTTCCCTGATGATGAGTGACACTGAGCATCGTTTCATGTGTCTGTTGGCCATCTGGGTGTCTTCTTTGGAGAAATGTCTATTCATGTCTTCTGCCCATTTCTTCACTGGGTTGTTTGTTTTTCAGGTGTGGAGTTTGGTGAGTTCCTTATAGATTTTGGAAACTAGCCTTTTATCCGATATGTCATTTGTAACTATCTTTTCCCATTCCATCGGCTGCCTATTAGTTTTATTGATTGTGGGAATCATTTTTTATTGTTTTTATTGTCCTTGTTTCTAAAACAAATTCTGGCTGGTTTTATTAAAGAAAAATTTTGTGCCATCTACTTTTCACCAATCTGTATTGGCATGCTTCTAATGATAGCAGAATCACCTGGATCAATGATAGCCAATGTGCAGACTCTGTAGTACTTCCACATGCTGTGCACAACTGAATATTATTGCCACTGTAGCGATGGACACCATTTTTGGCTAACATGGCATAGTACTCTATTTCAGATGTCCTCAAGCCTTGGCAGTTGCTGGTGAAGATGAACAGTTTTGCTTTGCCATGTCAGATCATTTCCAGAGTCTACTTGTACCCCAGCATGTACTTTCTTTCCACTTTTCATAATGAGTCAGTGCCTAAGTTGATCAACTCCAGTGACTTTTTCTTCTTCTTCATAGGCACCATCTTCCTGCCTTAGATGCAGGACAGCCTTGATGAAGAGCAGCCACCAAGTTGGTCGGGAGCGAGAAGGGAAAGGCTTCCATTTTTTATCATTATTTGCCCATATCTCAAGACCATAACACTCAAGACCTACAGTCTTCAGATATTCCGACTGTATTTTAATGCAGCGAAGCTGTCTCTCCTAACTGGTATCTTATTTGAATTTCTTTATCAGTGATATTATCCCCCAAAGAGTAAACTAGAGCCCATTTTGATGATGTACACTGGTGTATGAATAACATTGCTTTAGTGCCACCAAATTGAGTCAGTGGGTGCATTCTGTGTGGCCAAGGGCACTATTTCAATTTGTTTCTCCTACGTTTTATCTGAACACTGTTCCCAGGTCCCACAAAAACACCCAATTTTATCACAACAGAAAGCTCTTAAGCCTTCTCTCTATGCTAATCAACATAAGCTCTTCCAGTATAGAGGGGACACACACACGCACACACACACACACACACACACAGAACATCCATAACAAAAACAGCTTTTTAATACTAGCTTTCCACTTTCAGTGAGTTCTGAGCATAAGGAGAAGAAATGAAATCTGGATTCCACATGTTATTAGCAAGAAAATGAGAATCCTATCATTTTGCAGGAAGATATTAATATTCATATGCTCACCTTTCTTTTCTTCCACATTGGATACTAGGATTCATGTTGTGCTTTGTGGTAATTCTACAGCTTCTATTCATTAAATACTATGACTTGAGCTTTTCGTAGTCTTTGAGAGGAGAGAGCAAGAATATTGGAGGCCTGGGGCTCCAAAGGATCTCTAGCTCACCAGCTAAATATTCATCAAAATGAGACACACAGCCTAATCTTTCTCACTTCTTACAATCTTTGTTAGGAGAAATGATTCTTGTCATGCCCTTTCCATTCTCATTAAAGTTCATGCTTTAAAAAAATTAAGGCAGAAGAGCTGAACACTTTATCTAAGTGATGACTTGTAATAGTATATTGTGTGGCTTTGACCTTTTTCATGGATTCTATAATGCAACTGAGCTTATTATATCCAGGATTTTTTCCCCACAGCTTCTTTTTAACAGCATCCCTGAACTTCTTGAAAGAGAATAAAGGGGATTGTGTTCAATGAAGACTATATTTTTTAAAAAAATAAAAGATCAAAGAAGTCCAGAGAAGAGAAAGAAAGTTATCAAAAGAGAAGTGATCACCTGCAGAAATGTCTACAGGTATCAGGGTCAGAATCCAAGTGCATGATAGTGAAGGATACAGGGCCACTTGACAAGCTGGGATATTGAGAGGAAACTAGATGACAGAATGTAGTTGTTTTCTTCCTCCTCTAGGGGATCTAGATTTCCCAGATGACAAAAGAGTCCTTTACATCAAGGTATTTAGAACTTTTCTCTCATTTTACCACTCCTACACCGATTCCAGAAATGCTGCATTGATTTGTGTTTAATTATCTACTGCTGCTCAACAAACCTCCCTAAAAATTAGTGCTCAAAATAATGATGACCTGTATTTTGAAATTTGAGTAGGGCTCAGCAGGGATATCACCTCTCTGGTCCACTTATGTCAGAAGGGGCAGCTTGAAGCTCACATGCCTGATAATTGATGTTGGCTGTCAGCTGGGACATCAGCTGGGACTATGGCTGGAATACCCTCATATGGCCTGTTTGAGTTCTTGGCTTCCTCCCAACATGGTAGCTGTTTCTGTAATACCAATGTCTCAAGAGTACCAGGGAGTACCAGGGAGTAACTTGCCTTACAAGTTACATAGTGTTGCTTCTGTATTACTCAGAGGCTTACTCAGATGCAAGGGGAGGAAAACTAGACCTTGTCTGTCAAGGAAGGAAAGCTAACTTCATTTTTCAAATCCAAAAAGCAAAAAACACAGGAGATATGTCTTCCTTATAAAATATACCCCCCACACATCTAATTTGTTCTTTGGAAACTAACAAATTTAGATACAGACACACTTCACATTAACTACTTCACTATTATAGTAATTCTGTAAGATTATGCATGTGAGATAACAAATTTGTTAAATTTGTATCTACAATAGTGACATCTAGCTGGATGGGCCAACACAGACATAACTCAGTCAAATTTAGGCTCAGGTCATTGCATTCATTTGGAATACAGGAAAAAAATGGCTGTAAATGATCAAGACAAAATTAGTCATCTTTTCTCTTACTGAATACAAGAAGACTAAGTACTTGGTGAACCTGTAACAGTACTTTTAGAGCATTTTTTTTTTTTTTTACTTCATAAAACGATGCTTTGGTAAATATGAAGTTTAGAGTTATTCAATTGTACTCTACTGGTCTGGAACAAAACTCCCAGGAGTACAAGAAACTTTATACTAAAGTAACCTAACAGCACAATTAAGCTTATTGAAATCAAGAAAAATCAAAATCCCCCCTAAAACATTGCCAAAAAAGGCCTCCATTCTAAGATGTCAGCATGGATGATACAGTAAACCCTTATCAGAAACAAAGAATTGTAGTCAAGGAAGCAGGCTGCGGAGGTAGACGCCCAGGTACCAAGTGGGTAGGATCATCACTACATATATAACTTTGAACATCATGATTCTTAATTTCTTTATGAATCACTTTCCTTATCTATTAAAAAATAAGGAAAACAAAAGAATCTAAATAATTTTGTGCATCAGGTATTAAGTAATCCAGCCCAAGTGGAGTACTTAACACAGGCTCTGGAACACAGTAATCATTTGATAAACATAAGCACTGTGTCCATTCAGAAGCTCAGCAACTGTGGCTCATCAGTGGAAAATATCATCTTGACCAAATGAGTTTACAGACATTACCTGGAAGAAAAGTCAGGGCAAATTCATCAAGGACATTTGCAAAATCAAAATTTTTTTTTTTGTGACTAGGGTAAGAATGGCCATGCTATTGGTATATACAAATAAGATGTGACTACTAGACATTGTCCTTTTTACCAGGGTGTCATTGCTACTAACCTCTCAGTGGACAGAACTAGCCAGCACAGGTGTGTATACATATATAATGTAAACAAACCTATTTCTGTGTCTACCTATCTGCATGCATATTAAAAGCTATGAGTTTATTCAGATATCTCCTATCCAAGCACAACACAACAAGGTTCCTTCCAGTTTTCTTTCATTCTTTCTACAGAAACTTTTTTCTCTGACAATAAGAAACCTGGTTCTCATTATCCACAGATTACTTCATTATTCTCTGAGTCTTCTTACATACACAACTGATTTTCATAATTGTGAACCCACAAGTTTACTAGCTATTGTACAATAATTGTGTACCAGTACAATAATTGTGTACCATTATGTTTGTCTTTGGTTTTATTGTATATAGCCAAATATTGTCTTCCAACACTACTTGTGCTCATTTTATATCCTCAAACCCCTCACTGTGGCTACATTGCTCATTTATAATATATTTACAAATTACTGTCTGTATTGAATTCTGTGTATTTTGTGTATTACTGCCTGTATTGAATTTACACCTATGTGATGGCTAATTTTATGTGTCACCTTAACTAGGGATGCCCAGAAAGCTGGTTAAACATTATTTCCGGGTTTGTCTGTGAGAGTACACTTGAAAATAATTGATATTTGAACTGGTGAACTGAATAAAGCAGATGGCTGTCCTCAAGGTTTGGGATGGGGGGAGCATCATCGAGTCTCTTGAGAGACTGACTAGAACCAAAAGACAGATAAAGGGCCAATTCACTGTCTCTTCTTGAGCTGAGACAGGCACATTCTTCAGCCCTCAGCCCTGGTGCTCCCGGTTGTCTAGCTTTTGGACTCAGATCGGGACTTACATCATAGGCCCTCTGATTCTTAAGGGTTTACACTTTGACTGAATTACAACACAAACCTCCTTGGTTGTGCAGCTTGCATACGGAAGATAGTGGGCCTTCCCTGTCTCTGTAACTGTGTGAGCCCATTCCTATAAATTAGTCCCTTCTATGTATCCATACAGAGGTCCTACTATTCCATCTCTGGAGAACTCTGACTAATGTAGCCTGCATTCAGGGTTATTTTAATTATTTGTTTAGTTTTTGATAAGTGAAGTTGTTTAGTTTTTAGTTTAACAAGTGAAGTTGTTTAGTTTTTGATAAGTGACATGTTGTAAGACTCAAGACTATATGATCAGAGAAGTAGTATTTCTCCTTCAGGTCTTCTACCCTCTTTTCGCACTTTCCTACCCATCTCTACCTACCTCTTTTAGGTAACCAATTAATTTCTAACAGAGTTTAATACTCTGAGAAATCGAGGAATCTGGGAAGTGGTTATAGGAACTTATAATCATTACTTCAATTGACCTGGACTCATTTCCTTTCCTCTTTCCCCTCCCACTCTGACTAAGATTTACCAAAAAAGATTTTTGGTGTGTACACCTATCTCTCTATTTTGAGAAAAGGAAGATAAATCTTAACTCCAAATATATATATATATATATATATATATATATATATATATTCTTTCATTCATTCACTTATTCATTGTTCAGATATTGATTCAACTATTTTAAGTCATATAATCAAACAGGTCTTAAGAGTAAATATTTTAACTACATAACTTAGGAAACACAGCCCACAGTTAGAATTCCCCAAATCATGGATATTTGGAGACTCACCATTGAAATTAACATTGCGGATATACTTCAACAACTTCTTTCCCCCAGCTTGCTCCATCTCCGGACAGACCCCTCGATAGTCAGCACAGAGATCCTTGTTCATATGATGAAGGGCGTGAGCCATTGCATAAACCGCATCAATCACAAACTGAACTTTACCCTCCTGTTCATAGTTGGAATCTTTTCCAATTCTCTCCTGTCCTGCACATTAAAACAGGAAACATGCACACAGAAAGATTGGTGTTGAGTAAAGCATCTAAATTTGCATTTACTTTCAACTATGCTTAAGCAAACAATCGTTTGGAGAATATAATAGTGCAAACTACATATCCACATTTAGCTACCATATTAAGTTGTTTTGATAGTGTTTGGCATTTGACTTGGTAGCCCATTACACTAACCTTTCTGATGTATTAGACAAACTTGTGAAGCACACTCCAAAAGATCACAATGACAGCTTTTTGTAGTAAGCCAACATACTGCTCAAAATATAGTGGGTCCATAGAACAAAGAGATTGTTCAGATTAGAGACTGGGATACCATATTCAAATCTTCAAAGCTCACTCACTCTAGAGAGGTTACAGATCCAAAGGAAAATGATAGAAAATAAACTAAACTCCATACCTGAACTTCTATATATCCACTCCACCTTTTGTCTGACTCAATGGTTGGCAACTAAGGTGCTCAGGTTAGAAACCATGTCATTTTTGTATTTCCTTTTTGTGTTTTTTGTGTTTCCTTTTTTACTCTCCACCCTCACATTTACTTAATGAGGAGCCAAGTTCTATCAATCCTATCTCTGTAATGCTGAACTGTTGCAGCCACACTAACAATGCCCCATTTATGCCCTTCCATCTTCATCAGGATGCAATGCTAGATGCCTCCCTTCATCTGGTCACTACTCCATATCCATCTTTCCAAATAACAGAGCTTATTACCTCACCCTCTTGCTGAGAATTCCTCCATGTTCTTCATTGCCTACAAAATAAAGTCCAAATTCTTTCCCCTGACAAAGGAGAGTGTCCATCACTTTGCCCCCACCTGCCTAATAAGAAGAAGAACTGGCATTAAGTGCCCTTCACTGTATTGGAAACTTTTCACACATTATTTTTATTTCATTCGTACTTTGGGAGTTAAATATTATTTATCCTCAATCTGCAGATAGAAAAGGTCAGCTTTGTATAGATTAAGTAGGTAGAATGATTATGATAGCTCAGGTTTGTCCAACCCCAAAGTCCACTACACCATTTCGCTACATTGGCCCTACAAAACCATTTCCCTATAATTTTGTTTTTGTTGTTCCAGATAGATATGGCACTCTATTTTTATGAATACACCCCATCTCTAATGTTAAGTTATATGCTTATGCTCTTTATTTTTCCAGAAACATCTTTCCTTCTTGCTTTCACTCATCATAACTTAATTCCCTCTCCATGACACATTAAATGGTTGCCTATACTTAGTCTTTCAATCACATTTAAAGATTTTCATGACATATAGTAGCACTATATTTTAATGTTCTACTAGCTTCCTAGATTTTTTCATTTCCTTTTCCCTTATGCTGCTAGCAGCAAACACAGCATTTAGTATTTAATAGTTTATAAATAATACCTGTATTAAATTATGCATTCATTAAGTACATGATACCAGGAACTCTTTTTAGACCTCTTGATCCTTTAGAAAGAATAATAATTGTCCACAGATTGCATTTCACTTTCACAGCAATATTTCCCAAATTGTTTTCCATGGCACATTTTTACAGTGAAAAAAACAATAGGAATTCTACAACCCTATCCTCTCCCCTGCAAAATCAAAAGTTCCTCAAAGACATTCCATTACTTATTTTTAGATTTTTTTCTTACTGACTTTTCCAAAGCATTTAGTGTTATGAGAACAATTATAATCTACAAGAAGAAATTTTACAATTTCCCAAATTTGCCTGAGTTTGTATTTTTCCTTTTCAAAGCACATATTAATATCTCATAGGAAAGACACTTTTGTGTTATATACATTATTTCATTTAAATACCAAGCATTCTCATGCTGTTACCTGTCATTGGATCTAGGCTTTCCAGTGTGTGTAATGTCTTTTGTTAGGTTTATTTATTTATTTGGGGAGGGAGTAGGGGAGGGAGGGAGGGAACAGCCAGGGGAAGGGCAGAAAGAGAGAGGAAGAGAGAGAGAGAATCCCAAGCAGGTTCCATACTGTCAGTGCAGAGTCTGAAGTAGGCCTCAAACACAGGATCAAATCACCAACTGTGAGATCAAATGAGCCACAATCAAGAGTCAAGATACTTAACTGACTGAGCCAACCAAATGCGCCAGGATTTTTCAGTTTTGAGGCAGACAAAATTGATCATAAATCCATACTGCTACTTCCAACTGAAATTCAGGACTACAGAGTTCTTTTTAATTAACCTTGGCACTCTTATACTTCTACTTCCTTCCTTTTATGAGAAAAATCTTGGTTCTTAATGATATCATTCTGATGACTTGTTTTATTCCATAATATAGATCATGTCTTAGTATTCTTGTCTACCAGTCTAAAAATTATAGTATACGAACAGCCTTCTGAAAATAGATTTTCAATTTTTTGCCTATTTTGGTGATAGGTTCTAAGAGTGACTCCTTAATTAAAGGGTACATTCATAGGTATCTTTTGTTAAATATGGACACATCTCCCTCTGGAGTGAGATTGTACTAATCTGCTCTCCTACTAACAGAGAGTGAGAGTGTTCATTTCCCTAACCAATTCACCAAAGTATACTGTCGAACTTGATTTTGTCAATCAGTTATGTGAGAAACACCTTCATGGTCTATTTTTATTTTTATCTTTCTTAGCATAGGGGAGGTTGAACATCTTTGCATATGATTAAGAGGCATTGCATTTTTGCCTGTAAACTGTTTATAATTTAGCCAGCTTTTATAAGAACTTTTCCTTGTCTGTTTTTAAAAGCTTTTTATTAGAAATATTAAATCTGTGAGTTTAAGTTGTAAATGTTATTCCCAGTTGCTCATTTTTCACTTACTTTTTAAAATTTTTTTAAAATGTTTATTCTTGGTGAGAGACAGACAGAACATTAGTGGAGGAGAAACAGAAAGAGGGAGACACAGAATCTGAAACAGGCTCCAGGTTCTGAGCAGTCAGCACAGAGTCACTTGTGGGGCTCAAACTTGGGAGCGGTGAGATCATGACCTGAGCTGAAGTCAGATGCTCAACTGACTGAGACACCCAGGTGCCCTTCATTTACTTTTTTACATCCAATTTTTGAAATAAAATTTCTGTGCATATAACATTTTTTTCTAAAAACATTTTTCTTTTAATTCTTAACTTCTGGATTTTGAATTCCCACTCTCAGAGTAGAGAAGATTCCACCCATGTTTTCTTCTAGTGTTTTCTTCTAGTTGTATAATTTTGGTTGTAAAAATTAAGTATTTGATCCATTTGGAATGTATTCTGGTGTACAGGATGAGGAATAAATCAAAATGTTATATTTTTCCATATAGCTTTTGAGTTAAAACATACAAGAATTCATCTTCTGCCATAGATTTGAAGTGCGGCCTTTGTGATATCCTAAATTTCCATATGTAATTAGGTCTATTTCTGGATTTAAAAAATCTGTTTCATTGCTTGGTTTGTCTATTCAGGCACCCATGCTAGAGTTCCAATTATTAAAGGTAACATTTTAATAACTGGTAGAGTTACCACATTCGTCCCCATAATTACTCATTTCTTTAAAAATTTCCTGGTTATTTTTGCTTACTTATTCAAATGAACTTTATTAATCACTTATATATATCTTGAGAAAAAAAACTTGATGGTACATTTGTTGGGCTTATGCTGTATTCATAAGTAACCAGAACAGAAATCTTTATGGATGTTAGTCTCCTTACCTGTTTCTTTCCTCTTTCACTTCCTTCACTGTTCAAGTATTTCTCAAAACAAAGACTTTGAGTGTTTCTTGAAAGTTAGTTTAGGCATTTCATTTATTTTTGCTATTATAAATACAGTTTTCCTTGCTATGAATTTCTCATTGGTTTTTGGTTATGTATGTAAAAGCTATTCTTTGTTTGGTTGTGGTTTTATTAGTTTTCAACACTGTATCATGAAACATTTAAAACATAGTGCAAAGTTGAAAGTACTTTAGAGCGAACCCACCAACTAGATTCTTACATTAACATTTTACAATACTTATTTTACAAGGCAATTCATTTTCTCATATTAGTTTTATAACCTACTACTTTACAAATTTGTTATTTTTTATAGTACTTTAAAAAAGGCCACTGTGAAGGCATTATGACCACTATAAAATATATACTATGGAATAGGTTCAGACTAATAATTCAGGAGATCAGTTTCTATACTGCATTCATAGAGACATTTATTCCAGAAAGAATACCTAGAAAATAATTGCTATATTTTAAATAGTATAATTTATGGAACACTGTAGGCTTTATGCTTCTCTTGTAGAGTCACCATGTATGTTAGCTTATTAAAGGCTCTCAGAAGACTTAAAAGGCAAGTCTGTCTTTGGGGCTATCAGGACTTGAAAAATGTAATCTTATATCAAGAGAATCAGAAATGGCAAGTTCATTTAAAAAAAGAAGGTTAACTTTATTTTGCCGAGGCTCACAAACACAACTGTTTGCCAACTTTCTCCCCTCCTTTACTTGAAATCTGGTTGTCTTCAGATATTGGTACCACGTGTGTGTGTGTGTGTGTGTGTGTGTGTGTCTGTGTGAGAAAGAGGGGAAGGGGGAGGGAGAAAAGGGGAAGGAAAGAGAAATATAATCTGAACCTTGTTTGGGCCTCATGGAGTCAATCCTGATTTGTCTAAGCCAATCCAATTTCCTCTACAAGGGCTGAGTTAGAACAGGCATGGGACACAATTCTAGCCAACAGGATGTAAGCAGAGTTTGGTGGGAAATTCCTGAGATAGTTTACTTGTTCTTATAAATAAATATACTCAGTTTTATCAAAATCAGACCCCAAGATATACCTTGTAATTACTCTGGTCACTTTGTGCTTCTCTGGTTATTATACTGCAAATAAATGACAGCATAAAAATGTGCTATGTATGTAAAAATATAAAGTTGTGAGTTAGCCAAACCTGAAATAGCTGTACCTTTTTCCACGTGATATATTAATTTTCCATTTAACTAATGTTTAATATTCATTAATTCCCATGTTTTTATGAATGT